GGTAGTTGCAATATAAACAACAAAACATCATGCAGTCCAATTAACCCCTCGTCAAACTGACAGATTGAATTCAATTGTGTCGTTGTGTTAATTATACAATTTTCGTGTCTCAATTGTGAGTTTCGTCTTATGGTCCAACTATATTGCCCGACATTTGGATTGGAAAAACAATCGCCCGAATACTACACGTGCCTCAAAATTAATCGAGCATTTTCCTCAAGGTTCCCTGCATACAAGCGAAATCGTCAAGTTTTTCAGGAAAAATCACTCGTGCTTCGCACTCGTAATTTTTTAACCTGAAAAACTTGACTCCTTCGTTTGTTTGCAACGAACCTATCGGAAAATATCCGATAATTTTGAAACTCTTGTGGTATTACATGTGAATATTTTTTTCTAAAACATATTTCTTCATTAAAAAATGAATTCAATTTCAGATGCGCAAATTGACCGCAATGAAGAGGTGGAGGGCCCACCGTCAGCGCTAAGAACAATACGAAGGCCACGCCAGGGGCTCCCTCGTTTCAAACTCGACACACATGTTATGGAGTTTAGAATTAACCCTGTGCCTGAAGCTTTTCGAGATGTCTACAATAATATCATAGAAGCCGGGGGCCGCAGAATGAATCTAATGTATCTCACATTCAATTTTGCAGAAAGAGGACTGAGCAGAACATGTGTTATTCAAATTTACAATGAAGATGGCTTGTGTTTAGCCCGATCACTTGTTGTGGCCGGAGTATACGCCAAGTAATTGAAGACCAGAGCTGACAAGGGTGAAATACACGATATGAGGCAGGCCATTCGACAATTACCAAGGGTACCATGCAACGTGCGGAGGCCAAACGCCTAACTCGGGTAGCTAGGGTCATTGTTCCTGATGAGGGTTGTGCTTGAGAGGAAATTGTCCAATATCAACGATACTTGGCGCAAGAAGGATGTATCATCCAGGTCTATTCTCTCAAAAGAAATGGAAAAGATCATCCTGTATTCTCTGACGGCACACCTGAAGTAACCATCAGGGATATATCTGCCCAATATAACCTACCCATTGTGTATTATCTGGAAGAGAAACACTACGAGCCGATTCAAAATTTACCTTCTTTTTTCGGCGCTACATATTATTACGAACATTGTAATAAACCTCACAACGCTCGAGGACATGTTTGTGATAAAACTTGTGACAGATGTCTGAAAAATCTTCCCTGTGACTCTACAATCGTCGATAAAATAGAGTGTGACGAGTGTAATCAAGAATTCCACGGTCAATTCTGCTTCGAACAACATAAAAAGCAGGGTCTTACAGCGGAAACAAGCCAGTCGTATGTGGACACATAAAATTGTATGAAAAATGCAATGTAAAAATTGATCATCGGAAAATTTAGAAACACGTGTGTGACAAGTATTATTGTACCGTATGCCAAAAGGACGAAGATATTTCTCATCTATGCCACATGCCTACATTGAAAAGTAAAAAAAAATTAACAATGAAACGCGTGGCATTTGTTTTCTATGTCTTTGAGACGAGAGAAGATGAGCTGATGCAAGGAACTGATGATGTCAATTAGAACGTGGTCAATTTTTACTGGGGATAAAAAGGAACGTTAACTCGCCCTTTTCCCTTGGCAATGTCAGAAAACTGAAACTCGATGATTATGGGCGTCAGTTGTTCTTTGTCTCGACGGAAACAACAAACTGAAATTAGACCGAAGCGAAAAAAATACAACAAAACCAAGGATTCGAACACAAAAAAAACTTAAACCTAAGGGGGCCAAGGGAAAGGTGACAAGGTGCTTGCGCTGCTCAGGGTGTCGGTTGTGGAGAGAGGGGTACGTTCAGGTGGAGAGCGGGTCACTGGGCTCTTATCCTACAAGAAAAAAACGCAAAGCCAAAATTTAATGCTGAAATGTACGGGTCTATATTGTCTCAAAAATTCAATAAAAGAGTAATAATCGTAATAATCTTCTCAAAAAAAAAAACCATAATCCGCTCTGAGAGTGAGGGAGAGAGACCAAAAAAATATATATTTATCCATCAAAATTAGTAACAATAATTCCATAATATCACAATAATATCACACCGTAATTAATATCATGCGACGTACGTAGAGAGACCCAAAAAACATAATAATTCCAAAAGAAAATAAGTAACCTCAAAAATGGAACAAAAATGAGAAAAGAAAAAAAAGAATATCGAATTCAATATCGGACGAGAGTTGTCTAATTCAGCAATAACGAAGAAAAATTACTCATCATCCCAAATTTCCTAAAATAATCCCCGACGATGGAACGTAATAGATTAGGAATTTCACAGAAATCCCGAAATTCCTAAGGCGCAGCAACGCAAGTTACAAGAAAAATCCTAGCGCAACATATTACATAAAAATCCTAGCGCACGGGCTCGAGAGCATAAAACGAACACATGGTAGCTAAAACGACGGATGCGGCACATAGAATCTACGGAGGCGCGACCTTGAAGCGAAAACCGCATGAGAATATCTCTAACGAAGGCGGTGAACGCATGGAAAAAAAATCATCAATAAATTCTAACAGGCCGTCGGCACTCAAAAATCCTAATTATTCCGTATTTTCAGGGATATTTCATCCCGAGGTGATGAGCGCAACAGTGAAACGATCGTAGCGAAATGAAAATAGAACTACATCCCGAGAAAATCGAATGAACGCGAAAACCCCGAAAAGTTCTTAAATGAATAAAACGTCTAATTGATTAAGCCATAATTACTGGCAAGACTGAGAGAAATATTCATCCGAAATATTCGCTCCCTTAAACGACATAAAACTATCTTTACGGGTGCGAGAGAGAAGCACGAAATCCACCATCGTAAGAGAGAGACAGATGCGAAATCTCTCGCGGCGTCAAAACTCGCAAAATCTGACAGGCAATTAATGCAATTATTGGGCGTTATTTAAGCTCAATAAATTATGATCCAAAAACCCTGAGATGAGAAAAACCTACGAAAATGATTCCCAACAATATGAGAATCCCATAATCAAAAATCCTCGTGAAACTCACCAGCGAAACGATGCACTACTCCCCGCTTGTCGGCTCCTCGGCAAAGTCTTCACATACGAATCTCCGTGGCCCTCAAATATCCCGTTTTACCTATCGGTACTCTCCCGATTCACCACAACTGTCTTTTTATTGACACAAAAGAAAACTCCTAATGATGGTCGCAACTGCGAGAACTAACCGCGCTATACTCACGTGTGCCACACGTGAGGGTGCTAATCGATACTGACGCTCGATGGGCCATGATGGCGGCTTGGCGCACGGAGATGAGATGATGATTGCAATAATTACATAACGGTCGGTAACCGGGATTTCTACCTAACGAAATTCAAATTGAAATAACTTTATACAAAAATTAATTACTACAACGATTGAAATGGATGTCAGAGTGGGTTATTAACTCAAGAAAAATTCCTATTTAACTATAATCTCCTCTCCGGAGTCGCATTCTCGGTATCACGGGGCTAGGGAAATAAATTACGAAGGAAACGAACAAAACTTAATTACAAAAAAATGAAAACAATTAAAAAAATCGAACTCAACGACTTTGGCGATTCACGCGAGAGCAACGGTCGTGATTGATCCCGTGACCTTCCACCTAACCCAAAACTAACCCTTCCCAAACCCCAAAAATCCACTAATTGAGCGGCAGTATTTCAACTACTCCTATACAATCCCCGAAAATTCGGAAGGAAGGAAAAAATCCTCAAAAATCATCGCACAGCTCGGTAATATCTCGGCCTAAGTCACGAAAATTCCATCGGCCCTATATAGTTAATTTTCCCCGATCTAATTAACAAAACAGAAAGCGTGAAACGCAACGGAAAGGCAAAACGAATCCAAAAATACGAAAGAGGCGTCAGAACGCCAAACAAGATTCCCAGTAACAAAGAAGAATGATAAAAACAAAAAAGTGTTAGAACGCAAAACCGAAATTCTGATAAATCCAAAATGACTCGAAATCTCTAATTATTAACAAAATGAATTGACTCGAAACTATTGGCTTGACTGGGTCATTTTCTCTGCGTACTTACGGTTTTTCCGGTAGTTTTTCCGATGATCCCGCGGCGAGCGAAGGGATTTCCCCAGAATCCCTTACACCCCCATCTTTTCCGGTTCTAAGTCCATTTCCGCATCGGTCAAGGGTTGTTTTCCGTGGGTGGTGGCTTCCTTCCTTCAGCACTGTAGCAATAGTGCTCTCCTCTGATCAGCATCACTTGAACCCACGACCTGAAATAGAGTCTCATGCTCTATGAATAGAGAGCCGGGCATCCTAATAAACGTATTGCATAGACGTAAGATTATTTATTAATTATAGCCTTTAGACACCAGGTACATAAAGCACACCCAGAAAAACGGATTAGTACGCTATTCGTTATGGCAAAAATGCAACAAAAAATCCCATTTATGCGTTTTCAATACTAGACACAGCAGGCAGTAATAAGCTCAAAAGCAGACGTGATTAGCACAACAACACATTCCTACTCAGCAGTGGTAATCCAAGCATAATATAGGCACTCAGCACATTCACCTTTGAACGCTAACATTACCGCAAGCAAATGCATAAGGCACAGAGGCAAAAATATTCACTATCTTAATCTAATAATGAATGAAGTATAATTTAATTAAGAACAATAAAGGTCCTGGGTTTATGACCATGGAAGATGTGGAGTTCCCAAACTCCAATCTTCAAATTGTGTCGTCTGTCCGTAGTCTCTTATCTCTCCTGAGAAGTGATATTGAGCGGTGGTATCCGCAATGTTTTATTTCTCGTAACCGACGACTTTGAGCGGTGGTATCCGCAATGTTTTATTACTCGTAACCGACGACTTTGAGCGGTGGTATCCGCAATGTTTTATTACTCGTAACGGACGACTTTGAGCGGTGGTATCCGGAATGTTTCAAATTTCATGGAGTGAGTACTTGCAGTAATTTTGGCTTTGTCAAGCATAGGATGACGGTAGTATCCCTCTCTACTGGGGTGGCTTCTTCGGGGTTTGCCTTTCCAAGAATCGAGCGAGCGCTGTGGGGTCTATTGTCACGATGTTCTCCAACCACTCATCTGTCGTCATTGGCGCCAGGGTGGTAAGTGTGATGGGGTCGCGTCCTTGTCTGGTAGAAATTCTGACCGACCCAGGTGGCACTACGTGTGCAGTTGTAGAAGTGGTGGATGGGTTGTCCTGGGAGGCAGCTGTTGTTGGTGCAGCAGGCAATGAAGGCCAAGTCATTTGTCCTGAGGGCGATGGTGGGAGTCCTGAAGGATTGGTGGAGGTTTTGGCCCTGGGAGCATCTGTTGGGAGTGTAGCTGCAGCAGCATCGTCGATTGAAGGGGTGGCTCTGGGAGCATCGATAGTGGGGTTCATCTTCAGGGGTTCTGGTGATGGCCTGAGGCATTTCGCAGTAGATTCAGCGTAGGTCTGAGATCTGGCGCGTCCTAGTCTGTCCTGGACGGAAACTCTCTCAGTACTGGCTGAGGGCTGAGGTCGAGAGGTAGAATAGGCACTGGTGGCTTCTCGATTGGTCGAGAGAGCAGCGTTGGACCTGCTAGTGCAGTTGAGGTTCTTGACCTACCAGGGGTGGTTGGCCTATTGGCAGAGGGGTCGGAGGGTCTCCTGAGGTTCGTTAGCGTGTAACGTGCTAGGCGGGTGGCATGAAGTGCAGTTTTGGGGTTTGGTTGAGGCAGTTGTCCCTCAAGATTCTGTTCCATGACCCATCTGGCCTTCTCATGGCGTCAGTCCATAACCACACAAGTGAAAAGGTTGCAGTGCCACTTACCGCAGGCCACGCAATAGTCGTGCCTCACGACACTGCAACACTCTGGATAGCCATGGCCATAACCATGACACTGGTGGCACCTAACGCCGCGTTTAGCCTTCCTTGGGGGCGGCAGATCTTTGCACTCGACGTCTGGGAGAATTGGGGCCAGGGGTTCCTCTAATCTCTGTTGAAAAAGCTCTAGGATACTTGGCTCCTGAGGCACTAGCGACGTCGGTGGCGGCTGGAGGATTGTGGTGGAGGGTTCCTTGGGCGTGAGGCGCGCAGCTTCCTCCAACTGTTCATCCTCGGTGGCGTGAACCTTCAGTATGTCTGAGTTACTGGAGGCGATCTCGCAAGGGGTGGGGATTTTAATCCCAGTGGGATGAGGCCTTTGTCCAGTGTTATCTAGTGTGGATGCTGGGGTACTTGGTGTAGGGGGTGGTGTAGGAGTGGCAGCGAGTGCATCAGTAGGAAGACTGGAACTGAGTTTCAATGAGGTGGCAGCAGTGGCTGCATCAGAACTAAAGATGGCATCTGGTGCCGGATTCGAAGGTTTGGAGACGGGCTGGGGGTCTACAAGGGCCATCTGTGGGATTTCCTTGGCGATGCGAGTAGCTTGTTGACCGTCCCCCATCTCAGCATCATCCTGGGGTGTGTCCAGAGGCGGAAAAGGTGGCATTACTGCAAATTCTATGGGTGCCCTCAAGTTGATCAGGGAGGTGGCGAAAATTCGCAAAATTGGTAGGAAATTATCGTCCTTCTGGGCAATAGCCCAGATTAACTTCTTGTAAGTTGTCAGGGGGGCCCACAGAATGTGGTCAGGAACTAGGTTAGCAGCTGTGCAGGGTGACGTCGAAGCCTGACTGGGGTTGCCCGTCCTAGTGGCTGGGGGTATCGGTTTCTCGTGGGGGTGTGCAGGTGACACAGGGTCCACGGAGGCATCACTTGCAGCTGTCTCGATTTCTTCGGCGTCGGGGGAGGCACCTACTTCCATGGGGGCATCGACTGCAGGGGTTACAGTGACTCCTAGAGAAACAGTGGCTGGTGGAGTGTGGACCTTAACGATAGTTGTGATCTTCTCCTCATTCTGGGCGTCTCTTGATGCAGGGCATGGAGTCTGGCTCCTCTCGAGGTTGGCGTCCTCCGTCGCAGGTATCAAAGTGGTGTCCTCCTCGGGGTTGGCGTCCACGGTCGCAGAGTGCGTCTCTGTCTTCACCTCGGGTGTGTCCTTCACGGACTCCTCTGTCTTCTTCTCTTCCATGTTATCTATAAAGGAGGACGCAAGCGGAGAGATTCACTTATATCATGATAAAAGGCAAAAAAAATAGGCAATATAAAGACAACCTATGCAGCCACAGTTTCTCATCTCAGGCTTCCTACATTAACACTACCGACTATTCAAGCGTCTGCATTATCTAACGGCGGCAAATATGGCTTGAGATCTTGCACTGATACTTCACCTTGATTTTTACCTGAAAAGTCTGCTAATCGATAACGTGTTTTCGAGAGTTTCTTAGCTGCATTAAAGAGTGGATGTGACCGGCGCAGGACGATATCTCCCTTATTAAACTCATGATCACGACGGCGCAAATTATAATAGTGAGCTTGGGGAGTGTGAGCCTCAGCCAACGCATGATGCTGGGTCTTACGAAGTATCTTCAGCCGTTTCATACGTTCTAACCACTCTTCTCGTGATCTTGGTTCGATTTCAAGTTCACCCTCAATGTCTCGACGAAGAGAAACCGCCGATAAGGGCTCACGGCCGAAATTGGCAAATGTAGGGGTACATTGCAAGGCGCTGTGGAGCGCAGTATTGAACACAAAACGAAATTCGTGGAGGTGTAAATCCCACGTTCGATGGTCGCTATCGACAAAGGCTCTAAGCATCATTTTTAAAACATGATTAACCCATTCGACGGGGTTCACCTGAGGGTGATAGGGGGGCGACGTTTGGTGTCGCATACCAGTCAAGGCGACTAAGGCACGAATATCTTTATTGACAAATTCTGTTCCGTTATCAGTGAATAGAACGCGAGGAGTTCCCCAACGAGAAACAATGATATTCTCGATATGTTCACGAATGACTCTGCCAGTGGCTCTTTGCAATGGAATGACTTCTATCCACTTTGTAAATAGATCTTGCAGAACGAGGATGTAACAATGGCCAGATTTGCTGGCAGTAATTGGGCCCATAATATCTGCGGCAACAGTTGTCCAAGGTTCTTCGATCGCTCGGTTCCCCATGGGGAACCCTCTAGGTAAGGAATTTTCAACTTTGCATAATTGGCATGTGGTGCAACGGTTTACGAAGCTTATGAGGTCGCGCAACATACTTGGCCAGTAATAGGATCGTATTAGTCGTTGATAGGTCTTATCGACTCCCAGGTGACCAGCTTGCGGCAATTCGTGGCATTGAGCAATGGCTTTTAAGCGAATTTCCTTTGGAAAGACAAGCTTCCAAGCATCTAGATCTTCCATTTCTACCGAAATAAATTCGGAAGGATGATCGTTGTATAGATAGTTGTAAAATTCTGGCACTCTCTGCACGTGACGGAATTTCTTATTATACCATTCATCGTCGCTTACGTAAAGGCGTTCGATTGTCTCGCAGTCGGCACTCTCTCCTTCGGGGCACGAGATAAGGCATCGGGTACGTGATGCAGAGCACGTCTTCGGTGCACAATTTTGAAGTCGTATTCCATCATACCGAGGCCCCAACGGGCAAGTCGACCGGTTGGATTTTTTAAATTATGCAACCAGCGATGGCTACTGTGGTCGGTGATCACTGTAAATGAATATCCCTCGAGGTAACAACGAAACTTGTTCATCGACCATAGGATNATAGTTGTAAAATTCTGGCACTCTCTGCACGTGACGGAATTTCTTATTATACCATTCATCGTCGCTTACGTAAAGGCGTTCGATTGTCTCGCAGTCGGCACTCTCTCCTTCGGGGCACGAGATAAGGCATCGGGTACGTGATGCAGAGCACGTCTTCGGTGCACAATTTTGAAGTCGTATTCCATCATACCGAGGCCCCAACGGGCAAGTCGACCGGTTGGATTTTTTAAATTATGCAACCAGCGATGGCTACTGTGGTCGGTGATCACTGTAAATGAATATCCCTCGAGGTAACAACGAAACTTATTCATCGACCATAGGATGGCTAAACATTCTAATTCAGTAACCGTATATTTCTTTTCGGCGGCCGTTAACGCGCGACTCGCATACGCAATTACCCGTTCTTCGCCGTCAATTACCTGGGTGAGTACGGTACCTAACCCCACCGTACTGGCATCAGTTTGCAGTGTAAAGGGAAGTTCAAAGTTTGGGCACGCGAGAGTCGGAAACATGGCCAAACATTCCTTCAAGGCTGTAAAAGCATGGTTTTGTTCCTCCATCCACACCCAGGATTGTTGCTTCCGGGTGAGTCGAGTGAGAGGTTCGACGATAGTCGCAAATTGGGGTATGAATCGGCGATACAATGACGCCATGCCCAGAAATCTACGCAATTGCTTAATATTTTTGGGGGCTGGATAATTGAGGACAGGTTCGATTTTCTCCGGGTCCACTTGCTATCCTGCACTGTTGACTATAAAACCGAGATACTCGACTTGAGATCGGCAGAAATGGCTCTTTTCTTTATTGATCGTCAGACCAGCTGAAGTGATTTTATCAAGGACCTCTTTGAGGTAGGTTAGATGTTCCTCAAAAGTACGTGATACGATGATGATGTCGTCTGACTAGACGAAAACATTGGGGTATAATCCTTGACCCAAAAGGCGATCTAAGAGGCGCTGAAATGTAGCAGGCACATTCGTGAGGCCGTAAGGCATACGCTAGAAGTGGAATAGACCTCTTCCAGGGGCGATAACCGCAGTGATTTCTTGACTCTCAGGGTCTAACGGGATCTGAAAGTATGCTTGACTCAAATCGAGAGTAGTAATGTAGTGCGCATGGCGCAATTCATCCAATATACCCGTCATATTCGGGATTGGATAGGCATCTTTCTTCGTGACCGCATTGACACGGCGGAAGTCGATGCAAAATCTATATTTGCCATTGGGTTTACGAACCATAACGACGGGGCTGGACCAGTTACTCTTGGAAGGCACAATGATGTTGTTCGCCAGCATCTCGTGCACCTCTTTCCACATGATCCCACGAATCGCGGGGCTCACAGGATAGGGCTTTTACTTGATAGGGGCACTATCTCCGACGTCAATATGATGAGACGTAAGTGTGGTGATTCCAGGTTTATCGGAACCCTTTGGGAGGTTTTTCTCCGAAAATTCTTCTAATCTTTGTTCCTACCTTTTCTCCAAGGTACGCAAACCATTACAGACAACGATACTAGTGGCAGAATGCGAAGGTGTGAATTTATGACACTATTCTGGCTCCTACTAGGAAATCCATTCCTAGGATAAAATCTTCAGATAGGGTGGGCAGTAATAGCACGTCTAATAACGTAGCTCGGCCCGCAAGTTCGGCATGACATGTTGACATGTGTCGAATTCTTTCTACTTGGCTACCAGCAAGGATCACGCGCTTCTCAGGCACTTCATAAGGAATCATCTGTGCTTTCCGGAATAATTTTAACCCGGCAGCACCAGCCAAACTACTCGTCGCACCAGAATCAATCAAGGCTCTCACGCGATAACCACCGATAGTGATATCTACGTGAAAAGCAAGGGGCCTTCGTTCCGCTGAACTATTGAGCAATAATGGCAATTCTGCATGAACTTCGGGGCAATCAATTGCAGAGGATCAGATTCCACCTGGGAAAGGTCAATTGGTGGAAAGGCAACAGGGTTGCATGTTGAGAGTCCCGGATCGGAAGGAGGATCTTCAGGAGACGAGTTCTCCGGGTCGGCTCGTCTCACTTCTCGTTTCCTCTACTGCAGTTGGGGTAAGTTCTTGAAGTGAAACCAGAGTTTCGGCAGCGATAACAGAACATTCTTTTAGGGTGAGGGCAATACCGGTGGGGGTGTCCCTTCTCATTGAAGTTCCAACACTCAGTGTCGATAGGAAATTGTTGAATCGATGCGTGTTCATGGAAGTTAGTACTAATTCGATTAGGAGAATGATCGACTCAGCGGTTTGTTAGTGATTCGCATAAGACATGTGAAAAAATGAACAAAAATAAGTTTTTCCTCGAAAATTCACTACTTTTACGTCGAAAAACGATGGAATCTGTTGCTCATCTGATCGATCCGATGCTCATCTGATCGATGCAACTATATGTGATTCAATTTAAATTGACTGCTGAGTAAAATAGTCTCAACCGTATTCTAGTTATCAAGATGAAAATTTCGAAAATTGAGTTTTTTGTTTTAATAAACAGACAAATGGGAATCGGTCGGGAACTTATTGGTTCGACCCGTAATGGGTCACACTCACTCCAACCCACCCACTCCGACCCTCCCACAATGGAAGCGAGCGCAGCTAGCGACCAAAAACCCAGTCGAATCATTTTAATTCATATTATTATTTTCATAATATAACCATAAATATCTCCATTACTGAGCTGTTATTTATAGCTCGATTGAATGAAGTTGAATTTTTTCACATGAAAAAGTTCCATTACAATTTGTATCAACATGCCTCGACGTAAGATTGAAGGTACTCTATCTGAAGAAGAGTTCCACGTAGCAAGCAAACGTGCCAAAAATGCTGCACGACAACGTACTTATCGTCAGAAGAAAAGTTCAAAACAAAAATGAATCATCTAGAGAGACGTAAAATGATATCATACATGATGGTGTCAATGAATCGAATCAAAGTAAATCGGAGACGGATACTAAACGTGCAAAAAATGCTGAACGACGTCTTTATCGTCAGAAAAAAAAATCTGAACAGAAGTTAACCAGCAATAATGCGAAGATAGAGGAACAATATCTGGGCCTGATGGACGCACAATTTCAACATTGCAATGCAAAATTCTTCAACAGCGAACGGGTAGCTTACAAAAAAGATTCCTTCAATGACTGCTGTAATCATGATGAAATTATGTTGAAGCCATTACCAGATCCTCCAAATTTTGCACCAATTATTTAATAGATCACATCCACATTCGAAAAGTTTTCATCAACATATTCGTTATTATAATAATTAATTTGCTTTTGCTTCGTTCAATGCTAATTTGGTCAATTTCTCTAGAGAACGGTGAGGTCCATACTGTTTCAAAATACATGGTCAAATTTATTATCAGATCAATACAGCCTTATATTCAGATGTAAATGAGACTCCATCATACGGACA